CTGAGTCCTTAACCCGGGGGGTCTGCGCTGACTCCAGGTAGTTACAGTCAGAACTGAAGTGGATCCCAGGACCCCCAGCTGGTGTAAGAGGAAAGAATTGACTGTTGTCTGGAAAACCAAACAAGGTCTCAACATCAACACCTGTGGTATTCCTGCCCTAAGTGCCTAACTTGACTCTATTCAGGAAAGATAGTCTACTAAATAACTGGCCTGTATTCTTCCAAAATATATGCCAAGAAAAATAAACACTGACAAACTATTCTGGATTTAAAGGAGACTGAAGAGACATGACAGGTATGTACAATATGTAATCCTGGGTTAGATCCTTGATCAGAGGGAAAAAATAACTATAAAGGACATTTATGGGACGATTGACAAAACCTGACTATGCATTGTTAGATAATAGTATTGTATCATAAAATTTCCTGATTTTGATAAATGTGTTACAATAGCGTAAAAGAATATTCTTGTTAGAAAACATACTCTGAAATATTTAGTGAAAACGTCTCCAACTTAGATGGTTGAGAAAAAATAATATGCATTATTACTTATATGCAATATATATAGAAAAAGAAAATGATAAAGCAAATGGGGCAAAACATAAACAACTAGAGAATCTGGGTGAAGGGTACACAGAAGTGTCTTATACAGTCTTGCAACTTTTCTGTAAGTTCGAAATTATATAAAAATAAAAAAACAAAAAAAGGAAACAACGGAGTAGACTTGCCAAATTATACACTGGTTTTCTTCCAGAGTGGCATTTTTAAGACATTTAAGCCCCAAGATTATTAGAACTGTGAACAAAGACAAATATTGCAGCTCCCAAACTGTGTTCCCTGGGGCACAATTATGCCATGACAGATTAGTAGATTTATCAAAATTAAAACAGTTGCTAGTGTTATTTCTTTCTTCTAAAATTCAATTTGGAAATAATTTTACTCATCAGAAATTCATTTGAGAGAGCTCATATTTCTTTAGAAAAATATCTTGATAAATCCTTGGAGTAGAGGTGAGACCCACAGGGTGAGAGGTGGGGAAGATTCATTTATCTGGAGAAAGAATGACAAGGGAGGAATGATGGAAGGATGGAAGGAATAGCAGCTACGTGGTGAAGGCCACAGGAGTGGAATGTGACACTTCCCTAAGACCCTCCAAGTTTTCCTCCAGAAATCAGGGCATACGTGGAGTGGTTGTGCTATGGAAACAGGAGAAGAGTCCAAGTTTTGTACTCCAGTTGACTTGGGAGAAAGAGGGGTGTTTTGACAATGTAAATCCTTTGACATAGGAAATCTTAGCTAGGCTTAAGGACACGGAATTAGGGGTTCAAGGCAATCGGTGATGGTTAATTTTCTATGTCAACTTGACTAGGCTAAGGGATGCCCAATTCGCTAGTGAAGCATTAGTTCTGGGTATGTCTGTGAGGATGTCTCCTCAAGAGATTAGCATTTCAATCAGCAGACTGAGTAAAGAAGATGTTCACCAATGTGAGCGGGCATCATCCAATCCATTGAGGGCCTTAACAGAACAAAAAGGCAGAGGAAGGGCAAATTCACTCTTTCTGTTTGAGCTAAGACATCCATCTTCTGCTGCCCACCTGCCGTCTATCGGAGCTCCTGGTTCTTGGGCTTTCGGATTCAAATCCAGACCAGACTTACACCAGTGGCCCCTTGATTCTCAGGCCTTCAGACTCTGAACTACACCACCAGCTTTCCTGGTTCTCCAGCTTGCAGACAGCAGGAAGATCATGGAAGCTCTAACTAATTCCAACGGAGATAATTCCTATAATAATCTCCTCTAACTTATCTATATATATCCTGTTGGTTCTGTTTCTCTGAAGAACCCTTATACACAATCCAATCTAGATATTGGATGATATCTAGTTTTCATATACTGTCTTGCACCGCATAAAAATATTTCAGTTAACAACAGACCACATATACGACGGCAGTCCCATAAGATGAGTACCACACAGCCTAGGTGTGTAATAAGCTAAACCATCTAGGTTTGTGTAAGTGTACTCTATGATGTTCATGTAACAGAATCGCCTAGTGATGCATTTCTCAAAACGCATCCCTGTGGTTAAGCGACCCATGACTGTACAAAGAAAACACCAAACACATTTACATAGTTGTTCTGATTATTATGTGTCAATATCTTATTATTCATAAATGCTGTGCCACATTCAAGAAAGCTGCTGCATAAATGATGGGCTGACGCAGGAGGAGATGGTGTGACTGAACATCAATATATAAGCAGCATTTACCAACTAACCCTATCATTGGTATTTGTGGTCTAATTGAGAATTACTGGTCTAAGTTGGGGAGCTTGTCTTAGATTTTAAATATATGAATGTGTAATTTTACTAGTAATAAAATGGTTGAATCCTCAAATTTATGTCATTCTGTTACAAAGTTTTAAAGAGTGAATCAAATGTTGACCCCTCCTTACAATTAATTTGTCTGAGACTATTTTTCAATTCTTAGCTTCAGTCTGAGCACTACTATATTTCATGGCTACCTCATGGTCTTCTGCTACATTACAACTTTTAAAGTGTTCTGTGGTCAAATAAGCTTAAGAAATACTGCTATACAGTGTCATTTTTACAGATGCATTTTTAAAGAGGGAGGACTCAGAAAACATTAGAATGTATTTTCATACTCTGACTACTTTCACAAAGGCAATGAGACAGTATTTTGATTATTCAAATTATGGGTGGGGCTGAGAAATGAATTATACATTAGCCACTGACTTCCACTGTTAATACCAATGTAAATTACATGTCACAGATCAACTCCACAGCTTCTATTGAAATTCCTGGGACACAAACAACTTCTGCAAGGCCACTAGAAACACAGATCAGGGTGCCAAGAGTGAAGTGGCAACATGAGGAACTCACAGGCTAAGAGGCTTCACTCTGGGAGCGTCACAGATCAAGGGCATGGGGCCTCTTTTAGACAGCAGTACAAGAATTAAATCATTACTAACTGCAAAACAAAAATTACATTGTCAAAACTTTAAAGATGGTAAGCAGATGAAACAAAATGCTTATAAGGGAAAAAATTCTCCGGGCTGGAGAAACACGAGCACGCGGACAGATGAACTTTCTCAGCAAAGCTGAAGCATATTTATGGTCCTACTGTACTTGAGACTATAGTGCCATTGAAAAGCGGAAACACAGCTGTCACCTAAGACAGGAAGGGAATTCTGCAAATCTGGCAGCAGTCCTTCAGCTGTGTCCTTAATACCCCTCTTGGAGTCAGCTACCGTGTGACGTTACTACAGAGCTCAAAGAGGTCATGGAGAGAGCTCCATGAAGAATCCGAATTGAATAAACTGCTTGTACAGAATGGATTCTGAAAAATATCTCAGGATTTAACCTTCCTGAACTACGACATCTCTCCCCAAATCCCTGCCCTCGGTGTTCCTTACCAGTTACCATTATTTATTCACCCAACTTGAAACCTGAGTCATCTGTGACTCCTCTTTTCCTCCTCACTTCCATCTCCCATTAGCTGCCAAGTCCAGCAGATTCCGCTTCTTCATCTGAAGTCCATTCCCTCCTTTTGATTTTTAAGGCCAATGCCCTGGTTCAGGTCCTCACTTCTTCACACTATTACAATAATCTATCCTCCCAGCTTGCAGTATTTTTCCCTCTAATTCATTTTATGACCACTGTAAAATTCATCTTTCTAAAGCACAGTCAGAATCATACTAGTCCACTTTTCAAACCATCTTCAATTATTCCTCATGGCCCTGGACCACATACGTACTCCTCAACCTGGCATTCAAGACCCCAGCAATCTCTGGGCTCTGCTCCAACAGCTCCTTAATGTCTATACGGACTATACCCCTACATTTCCATACAAGTGCCATGCGATCCAACTTCCCTGTCTCTTCTTCCAGCTTCTCTTTACATCTGGATCTCACCATGCACACAACTCAATCTATTCAAATCTTATCTATTTTCCAGGATCCGTTATCAGCATTACTTCCTCAAAGAAACCTTTCTCCATTTCCCCAACTCAATGTCATCTCCTGCTTCCATGAACCTACCACATTTTCCTTGGCATCTATTATGCTCTGCTTTCTAGTCTACTTATCTATCTTATCTACTATAAGTTTCACTGAATCAATACTTATCAAGACTCAACTATGCACCAGGCACTGTATTAGGCACCAGTGACACAGGGGTGAATAAAACAGCAGTGACCCCTCAAATTACATATAAGAGTGTCGAGCTGGGATTATCCCAGAACCTTTATGGTGTACTATGTGGTAGGTAGCTAGAACAATTGTTCTTTCAAAGTGCTAGAAAGTATTTCATAAATATATCAAGTGTCATTCAATTAAGATGCTTTGTTTAAAACCCATAATTCTATCAATAAAAATGATCATTTTAAATAGAAAATTTGAAGAATCATATAGTATAATCTTTAAGTCCTTAATTAAAGACTTATACATAACTATAGCATAATGTATAGCAACTATACATAACATATAACTAAACGGAAGAAAGGATGGAAAGACAGAAAATCAAACTTTTTTGGTGTCAGTGAGACTTTGAATGAGTGAATATGATTGAATGAATGAATGAATTTTTAAAAGCCTATGAGTTTGGTTTCTTGACAGTTTTTGGACCTATCATCTTGGAATCTCAGTAAAATCCTCAGACATGGAAATAACAGATAGGAATATGTATAGTGATGACAGAATATAACTATGAGATGAGCTATGTTAAATTATCATTAACGAGAAAAATAAGATAAGATTTCTCTCAGGTTCATATCCTTGACTCAACCACCAGTAAAAAAGATTTAAAAGACAGGAAAGTTCCTACCATACATTCTAGTTTTAACTAAGTACACAAATTACTACCTCTCAGTTATCTTATTGCATACACCTCAGTTTTTAATAACGCCCCCATTCACAGTAGTTGTCCAATGCCTACCCATGTTCCCCTCCCCAACCCATCTCCAGGGTTCCAAAGGCTCCCTGTTTACCTCATACGCATCTTTGATGTTCAAAGGCTCACCAAGCGCTGCCACATGACCCACAATGCCTTTGTTCCATTCTAAGCGGATACAGTTATTGGAAGCTTCTTCCAGTGTTGAACCTTCTGCAACATCAAAGAGGCGGCTGATAAGAAACTTGTCGTTGGAGCTGTCCTCACAGACGAGGAACAGGGAATAGCGGTCAGCGGCAATGAGTCCATGGATGTGCAAGAAAATTTTGTGACATAAGGCTGTGACATCCAAATGACTAGAAATATCTTTCACTAATTCCAAGAGTCTTGAGCACTGGTCCCCTTCATCATTATCAAACTTTGGAGGGGTTAGAGGCATCTGTTCCTTCTTTTCTGAGTCAGAGAGGAAGCTCACAGTTCCCTCAGAATCCTTGACAACAATGGGTCTAAGAGGCCGGTCAAATTCGGAGGCAGAGATTTTCCTGGTTGGTGTCCCAGGGGCGCTGCTATCTGCTCGGGGAGTCTGCTGCAAGGAGCAAGAGCAGGATTCCGGGTGGCCTCTGATGCCTTCCTTGCAGACAGGGATGGTATGAACTCTGTCAGCAAACCATGCATTGACCATCTCTCTGCAGAACAGAACATGCGACACATTAAATATTTCAGATGGAAAGGTGCTGCCTCTGACAGGTGCTAAAAATTCCCTCACGGTAAGCTGGTCAGATCATAATTCGATTTGTCATAGAAAATATAAACAAGATGGTTTAGTTAAGAAAGTTTTCTTTTGAAAAACTGTAGAGGACAATTGCTTCAATGAATAATTTTAATAAAGTATGACACCCATATATATATATTTTCAGATACCTGATTTATAACACATCAAGCATCAAGTCTGCTTTTCTCAAAATCAGTTTGTATTAAAGTAAAAGACACTAAATTTGACAATAGTCTTAAGAAAACATAAATAGGGAAATTAATCTGCTGTTTAAAACATACAACTTGTTCTGAAGTTAAATATTTGAAAGTTAAAGATAAATATTTATCTAAATTTGGCTAGCAATATGCTTAATTTTAGATAGTTTTATCTATATTGCTGTATATAGATTAGATTTAGAAGGGGAAATGGGAAATATAAACAATTTTATCTGATAGAAAGACTAGACTTCTGTAAATATCCTAATAATGCTTGATGAATGGTAAAAATGATTTATTCTAGATTACCTACTCCTGGTATAAAGGAAGAAAGTTAAAAAGTAGGCAATACCTAATTTTAAAAATTCAACCCAAGAAAACTTATTTATGGTTTTAATGTATCCTCCTGTGGAAGATACCTATTTGAGCTAAAGCCTTCACAGTGGGTGATTTTTTTAAACAAACATACCAGATCATACACATCCAAACGATTATTGATTTCAAATAATTCCCCTTGGAAAGCCATAATCTTATACCAATTGATACTACCATTACGTTAGACATTTTTGGAATTCTTCTTTTGAAACTAACTTCTAAGAAAATTTGTAAGCCAAATAAGATTAGTTTTATCTAAAAGTTAGATCTTGGTTTTCACTAAGCCTTCCTCTCAAAAGACAAAGACCCAAAAAAACATAGACTAACAGCTAACTTAATATCTATCTTATGCATAAGACTTGACTTTTCCCAAAACTCAAATTTACCTTCAAAAGATAAAAACTTGCTACTGCTGAGGATATTTAAAAGAATGTGCCTATAATAAGAACAATGCAATCTCTACTCTACAATAACATATGGATTATTTTCACCAAATGGCAAGACAAAAAAAGCTTGCCAATGCCCAAGGTATTTACTGCAATACTATTTGTTTTAGCGAAGGTGAGAAGCAACCTAATACCACCAATGGGAGGCTAGCTAAACACATTTATCCTATGGACCACTAGGCAGACAGTGAAAGATGGTCATATGCACTGATACAAATAATCTCCAGATTTATTAAGTGAAAAAAGAAGAAAGCTGAGGGGAAAAGAAGAGGCTGTCTTATTTCTGAGTTTCCACTAAGTCTTTCATTTATGGGATGCTCCCTTAATTATTTTACTTTGAACAACACTGTATTGTTTGGTAAATATATATTATTCTGAAATGGTGCCAGTCTAGAATGAAATGGGGAAAAAAATAACACAGATATTATCCAGATGCCCTCATAATTTCAAGTGTCGGATACAGTTATAAAACCCCTTTAAAGCTCTCTTTTAAAAGTAACACAGTAGGCAGGTACATAGCACAGATCACAAGTATATACCTACAGCACAGAGTTTTTAAAAATATAACTGTCCTAATGCTTTATGAAGACATGCTGTGACTTAGGACAAACTTTCCAGTGACAGCAACATACGCTGATTCAAATAATGCTGTATCTTAAAAGCAGACAGAAATGAGGGGGAGGTACTCTGGGAAATGCTTATATGGCAGCCGTAGTGCCAAAGGCAGTTGATGTCAAAAACACATGTGAGGCTGTCAAAAATGTATAGGAAGCTTTTAAATAAAATTGTTTTGTAAAATGTAAGATAGGAAAAAAGCAGTATGTGTAAATCAACGTAACTTACGAAATTTTTAAATATGTATATGTAACTTAAATTGTGAAACCAATATGAAAATAGGCATTTTAACTATTTCAGCTACAAACCTAAAACTTTGCCCCAACTTATTTCCTATCTTCTCATTGGAAAATGATCAACTTTTTTATTTTTTAATCAAACCACATACGTAACAACTCCATGTGGATATCTAAGCAGACAGGTGAAAATGGGGGAAACAATTCCTAATGCCCCTCCCAACGTCATCTTGCTCCCATCTCACTCCCAGCCAGTCTTCCTCACATTAATAAATAGCACCATCACCTCCCCAGTTACTCAAACCAGACATCTCGGAATTACTCTAAATCTCCGTTTCCTTCAATTCTCACGTCCAATCCAAGTCGCATCTACTTGACTCACAAAACCTTCTATCCCAACCTGTTTGTTTCTATCTCCTGTCCTACCACTCTGGTCCAAGCCCCACCATATCCTACCTGGACTATGGCCACAGCCCCAACTGCTCTCTCTCATATCATACATGCCCCTTTCAATCCATTCTCCAGACAGCAGCCAGAGTAATCTTTTAACAAAGTAAACCTTAAGAGCTTAACTACCCAACTTGGCTCCTCCATGAACTGAGAATAAAACCCGAACTCTTTGAAACCCCCACCGCGGCTGCTCTCGCCCATGCTGGCCTCCTCGGTGCTCCTCAAGCACACTAGCTCCAACTGCCCCCATCTGGAATGCTCTCCGCTCCCCTGCGCCGGCTGATCACAGCCTCCTCATCTCATTATTAGATACTTTTCTTGTTTATTCATCTGCTGGTTTGCCTGTCTTTCCTGACCAGATGTAAATTTCATCAGCGCTACTTGTCTCCCTTGTTCACTACTGCATTCCCTGTCACATAGAAAATGCCTGTTACACAGTATGTCCTCAGTAAATATTTCTTGAGTGAAGTGAGTGAATAAATAAATGAAGCCTCCTAAATTAACTGCATCAAAAGGGACAACAGTCTTTTGAATATCTGAATGCCAGTATATTCGTTACAGAAAATCAACATTGTGTTTTAGCTATTAACCATCTCTCTGACGTTAAGCATCGTAACTGATCATGGCTAATTTATCCTC